TCTTTTTTTTTTTTTTTTTTGTTTACTTTCTATTCATCAATGAATCCTGGGGGAAAAAGTATCATTGTTTCTACAAAAATATTAAGCAGCACAACTTTTTTTCATCATTGATAAGAATAAGAAATATTTCTTGAGCACCAAACCATCATATTAGAATGACTTCTGAAGGATCAGCAGTAATGATGCTGAAAATTCAGCTTTGATCACAGGAATAAATAACATTTTAAAATGTATTAAAATAGAAAACGGGTATTTTAAATTCTAATAATACTTCACAATATTACCTTTTAAAAACGAATACATACTGAGACTTATTTCAATAGCATAAAAAAAATTCTGGCCACAACCTTTTGTTTTTAGTTAAAACAAAGTCAGCTGGCCAAACGTTTGTTTCTTTTTTCTAATAAATGTCACTGTCACCGATATTTGTATTATTGTTTGATCAAACACTGCGTATGACTGAGTTGGTAGACTTTTATTTTGAAGCCGATCCGTTCGTTCGACCGGAACTGCCATCAAATTCGACCGGAACTGCCGTTTGTAATTGGTGCGGCGTGCTTCCCGTGTGTTCTTGGCCCTGGATGTCCGACCGCAGATGAGCGAGATGGATTCCAAACAAGGTTAGTTAGTGAGGACGCTCTGTAATTGCGTCCTTCCTCCATGCGTCACATTTGATTTATGCGCATGTACACTTCAATTTGTGTTTACGCGCGCTGTCGATGATTTAGGATGAAATCATGATGATAAAATGCAGTTTTTAGTCTTGTAAGGCCGAAGGACTTACCGTATTTCCAGGCGTGCATTATAACACTACACATTAATATTAATATTTATTACGTATGCATTATGCCTTGATCTTCGAAAATGTGACGCATTAATACTGTTTCGATAAGCGTATGCAACGGTCTGTGGACGAGAGTACAAGAAGAAGGGTAGCATTAACGAGCCCAAGTGATTCTGAGTTATTGATTAAATGCATTGGCGTTTTGGATGGATGATGTTTGTCTTTAGAAATGCAGTGAGAAGATGCCGCATGCTGGTTTGCCATGAACTCTGATCAGATATATTAGATTCGGTTTAATTATTGAAGGGTCCTTGACTGACTGAGGTTTCTGTCCTATTTTTATCCTCCCTCAGCACGAACAGACTAGGTTTGCTGTAAAGTCCTGTGAAACAGGGCATGGTGTCCTTGTTTAGTGTGTGCATGAGTTATTTTGTTTCTGAATGGAGTTTTGATGTTCAGTGTGGTCACATACTTTTGTATATTGAAATAATCTGTTACCATTCTGAAGCCACCATTCTTCAGCTAAGTTACTTAAAAACTGAGCATGCACATCATTTTCTGATTAAGATCTGTATTCTGTCCAAGCCTTTACCCCCCCCAAAAAACTTTTAAATGCTTGGCAGCTATTGAAACATTCCTGCATTTGTGCAATCAACATATTTCGAAGTAAACTTTAAAAAAAGGCCAGGTATTCATATAGCTTTATTTTGGCTGATCTGATGAAATGCTGAATAACTGCCTGACTGGACAATTGACTGAAGTACCTAAACCGTATGAAACCAAATGTTGGTTTATCTTTATGCTTGCAACGAAGAGTATAATGAATGGGAAATTAAATGGGGAATTGAATTGCTGTGCAGAGTTACTATAATAATATTTGATAAAATAAATACATTATAAGAGTTTAATAATAAGTGTTTAAATTCAGCAATGTTGTATAAAGTAATATTTTAAGAAGTTGTGTGTATATATTTAAATGATTTATTATAATATAGCACAATTTAATAAGTGTTTACATTCAGCAATTTTGAATATATAAAGTTTTTTTTCTTTAAAAGTTTTATATAGAGAGAGTTCCAAAAATGTATTTTTTACGAAACTGCTTAATTCATGTGCTTAATTGCTTTATATGTGCGTATAAAATATACGTATATTTTTACAGAATTGTTGAATTTAAACACTTTTTAAGCAATATTTAAAAAATATTGTTAATTTGTGTGTTTGTGTAAAATATAATTTTTTACAAAATTGCTGAATGCAAGCACTCAAAGCAATATTCTAAAAAAAATGACATTATTAAAAAATTATATGCTATAGTTCCATGATAGTAATTCTGCACAGTAATTTAACTTCGTAACTCTCATTCACACACTGTTTACTGTTAACATGCTCATGTGCATGTTAAAAAGTGTTCATTCCTTTTTGCATTAAAGCAGAAAGTTGCATAATCTGACTGTTTGGGGCTGACGTAACTCTTCCTTTCTGTCGGCAGTGGTGGACCTGCTGTATTGGCGAGATCTGCAGAGGACGGGGGTGGTGTTTGGAGCCAGTCTGTTCCTGCTGCTGTCCCTGAGCGTGTGCAGTATTATCAGCGTGATCTCCTACGTGGGCCTTGCCCTGCTGTCTGTCACCATCTCCTTCAGGATATACAAAGGCATTTTACAGGCTGTTCAGAAGTCAGAGGATGGCCACCCCTTCAAGTGAGGACCCACACATGTGTTGCACACATATGGCGCTTTTCCACTGCGTGGTACGACTCTGCTCTGTGTCGCAAGTTCAGTGACGCAGGTAGTGACGATTCTCTCCAGCCAATCCGTGATCAGCAGAGTTTACACGTCACGTTTTGGTAACGATACGGTTCACCTGGAACCCCAACCGAGGTGGTACTAAAAACAGTACCAGGTACTGTACCCAGTGGAAAACCCCCCAAAAGTGAACCGTACCGAGCCATACCATGCAGTGGAAAAGTGCCAATATTGTAGTGGCATCAGTCTTGCGTATTTCCACACCATGTTTTGTTCACTTTGCATTGCCTTGAGTGTAAAACGGTTAGGATAATCCTGCTTTGATCAGTTTGTGTTCCAGTTTCTGTAAGGAGGCAGATCTGTGGAGCTTAGCTTCTGGGCTTACATGAGGTGCTTATGTTTGAACTACACGCTGTTGGTTTTGATTCCCTGCCAACATTTTAAGCCTCACTTGTGAAATAGAAGTGGAACGGCAAAAATCCAACCACTTAAAGATTCTTAAAGTTGTTTTGGGAGTAAAATGGTTGCAAAATCTTTTGTATCTCTCGGAAAGCCTGTTTGCGTGTTTCAGCTGCTTCAGATTGATCACTAGGCTCTGTTCCAAAACTAGTGAGCTGGTTTGCTGTCTACTACATAGTCAGCTACCTTCAAAGGCAACATCCTACTTGAAAGGAAACCTCATAAGTAGTAGATTTGAAACCCTCTACATTGGATGCAACTTCTTGTTCCACACAAACATGTTTTGTTAGCATGTTTATTTATATAATAAAACGTATCGCTAATTGTCTTGATAAGGCCAACATTTTTGTTTAATGCGTAACTGTACAAATCAGATTGTACATAATTCATGTTTTCTACAGCTTTTTTGTAAATGACAAGAAGAGAGCATTTTTTACTATCATTTTCACTGCAGGAAAATAACTAATAAACAGCAATTTGTATTTAAATGTTTTAAATGGGTATAAATAACCACTAGACAAGGCTAACTAAAAAGTACATAAACGCAAAATTGTTGCTTATGATTAGTGTTATATTGTGAAATTTCAATGTTTTGCTACTAGTAATGGGAGAAGCAAAGCTTTTCGAAACTTTGATTGAATTGAACCAGTTGCTTTGCAAAATGATGAACGATGAACGGTGTAAATGCAATGAACTCAGGCCAAACATTCATAAAAGTACCTTTGACAAACCAATTGCAAATGTTTTATTGAAAGTGTAATCTATTAAATGCAATTAACAAATCATTTAATGTCTCTAAATATGAGGTGTCTGTATAATGTTAATGTTAAATTGTAGGGCTTGTTTTGTTTGTTTGATAGTCAAGCCAGTAAGTGTTTATTTACTACCACACTTCCTTTCTATTATACAAATGTCATTAAAAATGTCTACAAATGTGTAACACTGATCCGAGATCAGGTAAAAAATCATATAGACACTGGTTCATGGGTCCCGAGATCGCTCTCTTAACAGCGAATCATTGAAACTTTGCAATGAAACATTGAATTGATGTAATGAAGCCTTGTTTACTGAATCATGTGACTTTGGCAGTTTGATACATGCTTGATCACTGGTTTGAAACAAATGATTCACAGGTTTCGAAGTTTCACGAAGCAGTGTTTCAGAAGCGCCCATCACTAGCTGCTAACTCACTAGGTTCATGGAACGTAGCTTCAGTCTCATGCTAAACCTCTTTTGAACAGGATGTATCTGGATAAAGATGTCGGGATCTCTTCGGAGTTGGTTCATAAGTACGGTGACATGGCTCTGGCGCACTTCAACTCTTTGATTAAGGAGCTGCGACGACTCTTCCTGGTGGAGGATCTGGTGGACTCGCTCAAGGTTTGTTGTTGCAGGAGACCAGAGGAAATGAAATCCCGATTGTGTTCTTTCATCTTGGGCTCTTTTATTTGATTGGGGCTCCATAGTTGCACTCAGGGTGAAGATTGGAAAATAAATCTGGTTGTCTTTGTTTTTCATGAGGTTGGTGAACAATGAGGCTACTGTAATCTGTTCAGTTTATGCTAAATTTGATAAAAAAAAAAAACTGCGCACATGAGCTAGAAATTGTCCTCTAGTGTCCAAAACTAAGAACTCAATACACATGTATAAGAAAACAGTTCCACTTGTTAGATGTTGGATTAACAGATACACATTTATATTATAGTCCGGCCAATATTTTGATATTTTAAGATTATCGAGCTTGCTTGGTCAATTAAATGGACTTAAAAATCTGACATCCACTTAATTCCTTAATGCACATTTATATTCCCTTGAATGAATTCAGTTACCCTACTGGTT